AAAAGGGGACAGGCAGATGAATCAAGTATTTAAACTATTTTATGCTGAGCACTAGGGAGGTTAGATGAGACTAGATATGTGACAGGAAGTAAAAGAATGGAGGGAGTGCCAAACAACAATAGGATATATGTTTTTAGTGGAAAAAAGGCACAGTGGACTGAGCTGGCCTCCCAATAATGAAGACCTGAGTTCAAATTCTGTCTCAGACATATCCTGGCTATGAGCCACTAGACAAGTCATTTAACCTCTTAGTGTCCCAGGCAACTCTCAAAAACAGTTCTTAATCTTGATGGTGTCACTGAAAGCCTTTCAGAGTCTGGTGAAACCTATGGGCTTCTCAGAATGATGTTTGTGCATAAAACAATCATAGGGTTAAAAGGAAACATACTGAAATGTAGTCATCAAAATATTAAAATAAGGTTAAGCATCTGCTGTAAGAGAACTAAAGAGAATAAAATTTAATATTTCATGGCAAGTTGTTTGTGATCCCCATTTCAGTTTTTGTTTTGTTGTTTTTGGCAAGGATACTGGAGTGGTTTGCCATTTCCTTCTCCAGTTCAGGCAAACAGGGTTAAGTGACTTGCCCAGGGTCACAGGGCTAGTAAAAATGTCTGAGGCTAGCTTTGAATTCGGGTCTTCCTGACTCCAGGCCAGCCCCTGATGCACTGTGCCACTTAGCTGCCCCACAGGGTCATGAGTTGACTGAAATGACAGTAGAAATGTGTTTATTTTTTACCAAATCCAAATTATGACTGTTCTGTAGGATTGATAGTGGAGCTGGAACAAACAATGTGATTTTACGGCTGATAAACAGCTCCTGTAAGGCAGGGGCTCTAATTCTTGGCTTTTCCTCAGCACCTAGCGCAGTGCCATTCAGTACAATAGGCTCTTAATACATGTTTGTTGAAATTCACTTGCTTACACGTCTCCTTCCACACAGTAGTTATCAGATAACTACTGCCCTACAGTGGTTTTAAGAATCCCGTTTATTATTAGATAATCCCGTTTATTATTAGATTATTAAGCATCCTTCTCAAAACACTCTTGAGCCCACTTCCACAAATAATGTGCTCCGCTTAACGAAGGCCTTGGCACTGACAAAGGCCTTTCTCTTTTTTTGATCCCATCCAGTTCATAAGAAGGGCCGCTAGGCGGCGCAGTGGACAGAGCGCGGAGCCTGGAGTCAGGAAGACGAGTTCAAATAGGACCTCAGACACTAGCTCCGTGACCCTAGGCAAGTCACTTAACCCTGTTTGCCTCCGTTTCCTCATATGAAATGAGCTTGGAGAAGGAAATGGCAAACCGCTTCAGTATCTTTGCCAAGAAAATCAGGAACGGGGTCACGAAGAGTCGGACCCGATTGAAAAACGACTGAACAACAATCAAAAAGTAATACTGAACGCGCACTTCGGGCTTATTTCCTCCACGATTCCAAATATTTTAGTAAAAACCCCAAATGTGTTAATCCTGGGGCAGATCGAGCAGTAGAACTACCTCTCCCGGGAACGGGTCGCCTCCCCACCCCGCGCCCCACCCCCCCCCCCCCACTGTCCGCACACAAGGGCTCGCGCCGAGAGCGCGTCTGCTGGCGCCGCAGGGGCCCTCACCTCGGGGTGATCCACGCTGACCGTCGGGATGGCCAGGCGGCGGAGCTGCGCCTCCAGGGCCGCGCGGAGCTCGGGCCCGGCCATGGCGCCTGCCGCCTGCCACCGTGGCTGCCGGGCGGGGCGGGCGGCTGCCCTCTCTCTTCCGCCCTCCCGCGGCTGCTGGAGGGTCCTCGTAGCGGTCGCTCCAATCCATCTTGTCACTCCTAAAAAAGTGGCTAACTACGGCCTCTCTGCTATTTAAGGATCCGCACAGTCTGGCTCCAGCCTCTTTCGAGACTCATTACAGGTTCTCTACATGCGTCGTTCTAGACAAACTGGGCTTTGTTCGCCTCCGTGCCTTTGTACAGTGGGCTATCAGGCAAGCCTGGAATGCTCTCCCTCGCCACCTTTGCCTCCTTTGTCCTTGAGGCTTATCTCTAGTGCCACCTTCTTCGAGACGCCTCTCCCAGCGCCCATTTGTTACACACTGCGCCTGCCACACTCTAGGTGTGAATTCAAAAACAAAAACAAAAACAATACCGGTCCAGGCAGCAGAGGCGGAGCCGCGACTCCCTCCGGTCCTGTGGCCCTCCTTCCCTCCACAGTCTCCTTCCCTCCTTCCCATTCTCCTTCGCTCCTTTCCCGAACCATGGCCCCTGGGGCGGCTGTCTGGGATGGGGTGATCAGGGCGTCCAAGGCCGTGAAGGTTCGCCAGTCCTCGACACCCGAGGAGGTGAAGAAATGCAAGGAGGCCGCGTTGTTCTGCCTGAGCGAGGATCAGAAGAACATCGTGCTGGAGGAGGACGAGGAGATCCACGTGGGGCAGACTGGGGACGACCCCTGCACCCCCTCTGCCAAGATGCTGCCAGACGAGGACAGCCGCTACGCGCTTTGATGCCACCTACGAGAGCGAGGAGGAAGGTCTGGGGTTCATCTTCTGGGTCCCCGAGTGCGCCCGCCTCAAGAACAAGATGATTTATGCGAACTCCGAGGACGCGGTCAAGAGGAAACTGACGAGTCACAGATGCATCACAAGGCAGCCGTCATGAGAAGTGAGGGACGCTGGACCCTGACCGAGAAACTGGGGGGCAATGCCGTGATCTCCTGGGGCGGAGCCCTTGTGAGTCTGGCCCCCCTGCTGGGGCTGCCCAAGCCCAGAAGGGAGCAGGCTGCCCCCCCTCCTGCCAGACCCAGGGGCTGGGGGGATCTTAGCAGGGGTAGGAGCAATCCCTTCACCCATTTGCCAAACCGCCCCGACTTCACCCGATGGCTCTGGCCTTCCCAAGCCGCCCTTGATATTCTCATTGCTCTAGAGTTGTAGCAGACCAAGGTCCCCGACGCCCAGATGCAGGGGAGGCCAGTATTTATTTAACTGACACCCACAGTTTTCCCCCTTCCCCGGTGCTGCTAACTTCTAACTGCAATAGTGGCTTTGTGCTTGTTGTTTAGTTTTGTGTATAAACGGAATGTTGTGGAGACCCCCTCCCCCACACAGCCGGTTCCCCTCCCCCCCAATTACTCACGTGGCTAGTAAAAGGAAGGTTCAGTTTAAAAAAAAACAAAGAAAAGGTAAGCTGCAAAAATAAAAGCAAACAAACAAAAACCAAGTAAATTCTCGTTTAATCTACAGCCTGGGGTTGTTAGAAAAGGAATCCTGATGCCCAGGAACACCTCCCTTCTTTCTCTGTAAGACTGGATCCTGAACTCCCCAGGAATTAGACATTGTCCGGTAAAACCCCATTCTTTCTAGAAGCCTGAGGTCCAGGAACTGCCCCCACTTGACCACGTGATTTCCTTTGCCATGGCTACCATCTCTTGGCACACCTGGGGCTAGGAGTCCTTCTCTGATTTGTAGATGACGGCACCTGGAACTGCCTAAGGTCACTACTTTAGCTGAATTCATGCACAAACTTTCTCCTGGGGAGGAAGTGTCTAACACATAAATAATATGCACTTAATAAATTCTTTATCATCCTGTTTTTTCTTCACTTGTTTTCTGTATCACTCCTAAAAGGGAAAAAAGGGTCAATTCTGAAATCAATCAGCAAACATTTATTTATAATAGTTTCCCCCAATTACATGTAAAAACAGTTTTTAATATTCAGGGTTTTTTAAAGTTTTGAGTTCCATATTCTATCCGTTCCTGTCTTCCCTCCCACCTCCCTCAGACAGTAAGTAATTGGCTATAAGTTATACATGTACAATCATGTAAAACATATTTCTGTATTAGACATTTTGTGGAAGAAAACTTGAAATCCCTCCAAAAAAAATAAAAAAGAAGGAAAGTGAAAAAAATAGTATGCTTCTGTCAGTACATTCAGACTCCATCAGTTCTTTCTCTGGAGGCAGATGTTTTTCATCATGAGTCCTGCTGGGATTGTCTCAGCAAGCATTTATTAAGTGCTTACTGTGAGTCAGGTACTGAGTTAGGTGATAGAAAGACAAAAATGAAACATTCAAATGAAACCCTGAAAGAGCTTATATTCTGTTGGGGAACACAACATGTATACATGAACAATATATATGCAAAATAAATGTTAAGTACAAGTGTAGTCCTGAGTTGACAAGACCTGGGATCACAGAGACCTTGTATACCAATACTGTGCCTTTAGTGTGTCCTAAGAGATTTTGGAGGATTTTCTAGAAAGCTTTCTTGGGCTAGTCTAGATTATTAACAGATACTCTGAGAAAAGATCTCTCTGTTTGGGGGTTCCATTGGCCTTGAGGAAGTGACTTTTTCCCAAGTTCAGGGAGCATTACTGTCAATCTGGAAAGGTGAAAGCAAGATAAAGGTGTAAACTTGAGAGTAGGAAGAGGAAAGAAGATGAATGTGTGGCACAGGAACAAGCTGCTGGTAATATAGATTAGTGATTTCATATGTAATCCCTTCCCTTTTTTTTTCATTTTTTTTTTAACTCAAAAATGCTCAAGCTCACTGGTGTTTGTTAAGTACAGAATTTTTAAAAATAAATGCTTTTTTTTAAAGAATCCTATTTTCCTGCCTCCAGGCATCCCTCTCAATTCATCCTATACTCAGCTTTCAAATTGGTTTTCTTTAAGCTCAGGTCAATGTCACTTATCTAGAAGCTTCAACATCTCTTACTTGACTGTACAATAAAATAAAAACTCCATCATTTGGAGTTTAAAGCCCTTTCCAATCTGGTTCCAGACTTTCTTTCTTAATACTTATTTGGGGCAGACTTAATACACATTGGGGCAGCTAGTTGGCACGGTGGATAGAGCACTATCTATATCCACTATATAGTGGATAGAGCACCAGCCCTGAAGTCAGGAAGACCTGAGTTCAAATCCAGCCTCAGACCAAACACTTGACACTTAGTAGCTGTGTGACCCTGGGCAAGTTACTTAACCCCAATTGCTTTAAAAAAACAAACAAACAAACCTTAATACATATCCCCCTGGCACACTCTATGTTCTAGCAAACTGGTATTTGTGGCATTCCTCATACATGATATTCTATCTCTCTCTAATGGGGTGCTTAGGTGCTTGTACTCAGACCCCAATTCCAAGATCATATTTTTCTGGGGCAGCTAGTTGGCACAGTGGATAGAGCACTATCTATATCCACTATATAGTGGATAGAGCACCAGCCCTGAAGTCAGGAGGACCTGAGTTCAAATCCAGCCTCAGACCAAACACTTGACACTTAGTAGCTGCGTGACCCTGGGCAAGTCACTTAACCTCAATTGCCTTTTAAAAAAAATCATATTTTTCTCTAGTCTCAAAACACTATCCCCAACAGTGTTCTCCCCAGCCCAAAAACCATATCTCTGGCAATAACTCCCCAGTGAGGCAAACTATCTCACTATCCCTCTGTTACAAGAACAAGCTGACCTCTGTAGAATTGTCCTTGTATCAATGAGACTATCTTGTATCCACAAAACTATCATGTACTGGTTCTCACAGTTATCATATACAACCTAGAGGTCAAGTTATAGACATCACATCAACTCCCAAAGCTATCTTGTTATAGACATATCAGACCAAAAATACACCGTATATCCCTGAAGAAAACCCCTCCACAATTCCCAGTAGGGAATGACATCTGTGACCAAGGTTGTATGGTATCACCTAATTAGCATACTTGGCATGTAATCCACTACTTTTCTTATATGAGTTTTAGCATCGTTCTTGTTAGGTTGCAAATTCCCTGAGAAGCTCTGTCTACCATGATAAGTTCCCTAAGGAGCTCTGCCCACCATGGCAGAATTCCTTAAGGAGTTCTGCCCAACATATTAAGGTTATAAAAAACTTTTTGCCACCTGACTGGAAGACTGCTTGAGTCTGTGAATTCATTCCAGATGACCTTGTCCTGTACTTAGGTCCTTCAGGGGTCCCTGAACCTCCCAAAACTTCATCACCTCCTCTGCCTTTGCATTCCGTGGAATGCCATGTCTCCTTGAGGAAAGAGACTATTGAAGTTTTGGCTTTGTTTCCTTAGGGCCTAGATGCCTATTGAATTGAACTGAGCTGAACTTATACCTGAAGAACAATATCCTTTAAAATATACTTGATGAGCTGGCATCTGGCTTTTGCTAACTTTACTTAGATTTTTGTCCCCACTGAATTACTGTCACCATGACTATTCCTCTTTAAGTCTATTAGTGATGTCACATACTAAGTATTCACAAGTATCCCGGATTTGTCTGTCCTTTCACTTGGAGATAACTAAATTCCCTGACCTTCATTTTGCCTTGGTACAATGACACCCTGATATAGGAATTCCATAAAAGTCTTTCATTTAGGAACTTGGAGGAAGGGGAAGACCACTTCAACTGATACCACCTCTCCCTAGATTATCCACAGAGACCTGCAGAGATAGGGTACTAGAGTTCAATCAATCAATAGACATTTCAGAATTTAGAGCTGGAAGGGATCTCAGTCATCAAGTCTTACTCATATCCCACAATAATCCATACTAGAACATACTTTAAAAGTATGCCTTTGCTTACAGACCATTTCTCTAGACTTTAGGGCAGGGTTCATTGTTGGGAAGTTTTTCTTGTCATCAAAGTCTAAATTTTCTTTTTGTTGAGTCATTTCAGTCATGTTCAACTCTTCATGACCCTATTTGGGGTTTTCTTGGCAAAGAAAACTACTTGCTA